GTCAGTAAACTTCTACCAGACTACACAGCACAACCCAGAAGACAGTCGTCTTAAGAAACATGCAGTAGAGTTCGTTGTCGTTTACTCATTAAAGAAACTATAAAAATTTATACTTGACGCAAATCTTCTCCACGCTGATCATCAACTCCAGCCTCCATGTTACTGGAGTAAGAAAAAAAGGACTGTGACCAAAACTTGGAATCAAATGATACACTCTCATGTGAGGGACGAGAACAGACAGTGGAGGACATTGTACGTCCCTGAACATTTATCCTTCTTTCTGTTCACGTGTGTGTACACACACACATGCATACACTATACCAGCTAAGAGAAAAATAGTTCTAGTTTGTACATTCTTCAGATTTTATTCCTTCCTTCCTTGAAAACTGCTATTCCACCCCTTCTGTCATGATTTTCTTTCTAATTTCCACCATTTAACCACTGCATGCATTTCAGTACACATTCTCTGAAGCCTCCAAATTAACATGAAAATAAGGCAATCCAAACTTCATTTCAATGTTCCTTTCCATGGAAGCAGCTTCTTTAACAAGCATGAAGTGTGAACTGCCAAAATTCCCAGACGAACCTTCGTACAATGGGCGTGGCAACCTCGCTAACCAGCCTTTAAATAGTTTGGTTTTTACCTGTCAGGCACACTCAGAATTATGGTTTATTGTAAAAAAGTAAACACATGGGAGAAGCTGTACAGCGTTCAGTAGCAGAAATGAGAACCAAGCCAGAATTGCAAAATGTAGGAAGTTTGGACTGAAAAGAAGTGACCATGTCATTGTTGTTCTTCTGGGTTGCGATGCTGTGCAAACTCTTCAACTCTGAAGCTGGAGATACTGTCGCGTCTAAAATGTTGGAATCTACCTATGAGTCCACACAGCATCATGACCCAGAACATCCAACACCTTCACAACCATGAGAACCTCACAATGGCACCTATTTTCAGCAAGCTATTCTGGTTCGCGCTGATAACAGTGAAAACGAGAACTACTGGAAAGACATAAATTGGTATCACACTACTTCCTTTGATACAGCTGTCCTGAGATCTTTTGTGGTTTTCCTCAGTTCCTCGAGGAAAATGCTCAGATATTGCCGTAAATTAGGCCATGACTGCTTCCTTGAACAGCCTTTCCAAATCATGATTCACAATTATCCCATCATTCAACGCCACATAGTTTGAACATGCCACAGCATCATTAAACAAGCCACAAATACAATTCATCAGAGAGAAAGACGTTTAAGTAAAATATGTTCACACAGGACAAGTTTAATTTCATTCATAATGATACCACAGACCACAATTTAGTAGCAAGCAAGGTATAAACATGCCTTTAGTGATAACCAAGTTTCAACTTCTCAGGATCTTTCTACTTTAACTTAATATCTTCCCGCCACTAATTAAAGAAGTATTACAGTACTTGACACCGCTACCAGGCTTAAATTA